AATCAATATTGAAGTCCATCGTCAAATTTTACCTAAAGCCTGTCTAATCAAAGATTTAATATATTTAGAATACGAAAATGTGTCCACTTTCTCTAAATTGCTTCATCTTCCATTGTCATTTGCGGATGAGAGAAATTCTAATGTAACATTGCTTAATAGACTCTGTGATTTTTCTTAGTAAATAATTTACTGTTACAGTCGCAGAGACTTCTAATGCATCTTTCGTTTGTGTCCAAATTATATAACATATTTAATTTAATTTTAATGAGTGTTCTTTAAAGTTTTTTTTTTTAACAATTAGTGTTTTTATAATTATTGGGTATTACTTTACTAATACATCTTATTTTTACTTTTAAAGTTTATATTTTATAGGTTTTTATTTAATTGAAATTAAATTTAATAATTATTTGTAATAAATTATATTCAGAATACTAATATAGAATAGACAAAGTTTAATTGATTAATGAAATCAATATTTAGAATACATTGATATATTTGAAACTTTCTGCTGAGGCTAGGCATAGGTAATTTAACATTGTAAATTTGATTATTCAAGAATAATATTTGTAATTCTTCAAATATAAAACTTTAATCCTTTATAATTAATGAAAGAAAATTTTATTGTATAATTTTTACTTTCTATTTTATTAATAATTAGACAATTTTATTTAAGTTCAGTATTTATGTTTCAATATATAAATTAATTTGTTAGAAAAATTGAGGTTTCTGGGATATAAAATTACAAAAAATATATAAAATTATATTGTTTATATTATATTATGCATTTATTAAAATATTATAGTATAACTAGGATAAATAATAATATTAAATGATGTACTTTTAATTCGAATGTAATCTATTATTAAAACTAAATATTCTAATTGTTTGTGCTTCATTGAAATTAATTCATACATATACAATGAGACATTCTCAGGGCACGTAATATTCATAAAAGTGGACTACGCGTTATACAAGATCATGTCTCACTTTTACTTTCCTTGTATTATATATTACTTATTATGTATTACTATGAATTAATTATTATATTTAATTGATTGAACGAGAAAGATTGTTTTCATTTTATTAGTGAATATATAACATAAATATTTTTCAAATAAAAACTTTTTGCAACGTCTATAGAAATGAAATAATTGTGATATAACCTTAATATAATGAACAAATTAATATAACTTAATTCTAGAATGAAGTTGTATTTGATTTTATATAAAATTAAGTAAAATATAATTATTTTGTTGAGAAAAGATCTTTTTTTGATAAAGCATCATTTAAACTAGATAACAATTTACTTTTATATTTTTTCAAATTATGTATTCATAATTTAAATTAAAATATATAAGGACAATTAAGATATTTCCCAACACAATTAATGTGATTGAAGAAGGTTCGAAAACATAAAACAAGAAAATCAAGATACTTCAGTTGGTTTGCAAATACAACTGAAGTACTTTATGATGAAATTCGTAAGTATGAAATTTGAGATTGAACTGATTGCAGTAGAATTATAATATGTGCTGGCTTATGATCAGAATAATGATGATGGTGATAATGATATTGTTATTGACAAATAGCCTAGTGACCGAGTAAGTAGATTCACGAGCCAGCAATTCCACGGTCTGTGATTTACACAGCCCGACCACATTGTCTTTAAATATATATATATAATAAAATAGTTAGTTATACACGCGAATTACACTATCAAAATTTCAATTATATTTATTTACATATATTTTTTAATATATGAATTCCAGTATATATTTATAGTTTAAATGCTATTACGGATGGAGCCTATGTCAAATAAATGCAAACTGTTCATATTTTGCTTATATTTATGAAAAATAAACTGAATAATAAAATGAATTGCTGAATATATGTCTACTATATATAGGCTGAAAATGAATTAAATCTAAATATTTCAAATATGAGAAAGTTTTTTTTACCCAACAGTTGACATCTGTTGGATGTTTGTTCTTAATCAACATAAAACAACATGTTGCAAAAGGGATTTTATACCATTTCGTTCTTATGATAAAAACAAACTATTTTATCTGAAATGTAGCTTAAAGCAGCGTTTCCTGTATAATAATTCACATCTATTGCTTGTAAAGTGACTACAAATTATCATAATATTATTATATAACGTTAATTGTTAATTTGACATAATCAGAGACCACAAACCCTTCATTTAAATTAAATAATCCAGTTAAAAATGCTATTAAAATGTTACTTCATTTGTTAGATTTTGCCCGTTTTGATATTATTCTACAATCAAATATATCGGTACAAAAAATATACTCATACTAAGAAATTTCATTTAAACGTATTAATTAATAATATTAACAGTACATATTAGTACCAAATTGAATTACGTTTCTTAATAATAATCTTTCTTGCAAAACTTCCAAAGAAAATTAAACCTTTTCATATACAACAATAAAACGGTTAACCTCTGCAAAGGTCTATTGACCAAGGTCATTCTGCCCTGAACATTTTATTTGTTATATAAACATAAATCGAGTTACAAAATTATAATACATGAATTGTATTTTTAAAGGATACATATATTAATAATATTATTATAAATAATAATCTTTATTGCAACAATAATATAACCCTTTCATACAATAATAATAATTATAATAAAACAAAAAGTTTAGTGCTACAAAAGGCTTTTGAACATAGGTTTTTACTACCAATTATAAATATTATATTATTGTTATTCATTTGGCTGTTGTTTAATTCTATTAATTCATATATTTTGCAAACAAATATTTCGATTCTATATATTTCAAAGAAAGTAACGTATTAGTGGTGTGCCGTGGGTTGATTTTAGATGTATTCCGAAATTTTGTAAAGATTATTAATTAAATTATTATCATAATTAAAAAACTTCTATAGTAAATATAGGTTTAAATATGCTGTGAGATTAAATAAAATGATAAAAACTGCATTAAAGATTTGAATTATATTTACAGTAAAGGATTTTCTGCCCGTAGAAAGTGCATATATATGTGTGTGTCCGAATAGTAAAATTAATGATTGTTTTAAGCAAAAGAACAAGAAAGGAGTTTATAGACAGTGGTGAATCGATTAAGAGCAACGGAGAGAGACCACCGTTCACGGGTAACGAACCCATTACAATAATGAATCGCGCAACGGTTCCAATGCTTATACGCATCTTGATACTGGCAATAGGAAATCGACGCTCATTGGAAGAATTAAAAAATGCATCGGGTTCATGTGATGTGTTTGATTTTATTTCACTTTTGATAAATATGTTGTTGTCAAATATTTCTTCTGTGAGATGTTTATGATTCCCTAAGTAGAAACGGCCGTTTTTCCGTTATCTTAAGTTAAGAGCGCACCATATGCCACCAAATTTGGTCACATCTGTTATATTGTGAAATTATTATAAAGTTGCTTCCATTGCCAGTTGCATTTTTTATTTCCTTGTAAAAATTATCCCATTTCTAATAAACTAGTAATAATAATAATAAATCTATGTTAAGATTTTTTGTTAATTAAAATTTTATAAAAATAATAATAGTTTGGACAGAAAGACCTATAGCCAATAGCCCTTTGCAGCAGTTTAATTTAATTTGAATTTTGTTATAGTATTATTGTATTGAGTTTATATTTTGATGATATATTGTTGAAATAAATATTATTATTATTATTCAAAATAGTTAATTGACCATGATATAATATAACAAAATTGGCGATATAATATGAAAAAAAAAATTCTTCTTAAAAAAATAACATCTTTGGTTTTGGAAAAGGTATGAGGAGTGTGAGTATGAGTTTAGTACTATTGTATTTTTATTATTTTATTATATATACAGATTTATTTTTGTTTACTTCTAGTTATTTTTGTAATTTTGTTTTTTTTTTACATATTAATTTGAATCGATATAGATAAATGATAGATTTATTTATTATATTTCTCTATTTTACAACCGTTAAATTTCTTTCCTAATTATATTTTTTATTAAATTAAACGCTTAACTTTATTTACAAATGAATAGTTAATTTTAGGATGCATATTTACAAAATGCATCAAAACCTAGGATAGTACGAGTAATCGCTTCTCCCGAACTGTTTGAAATTGGAGGAAGAAAAAATAAACCAGAAAAACGATAACTTTTGTATATATTTTTGTGTGCTTTTAAAATTTATTTTAATTTTTCTCAATTATAATTTAGTTTCTTTATAAAAACTTCTAACCGGCCGATAATGAATACGAACTGATTGAAGACGTCCTATGCGAGATATTGCTCTGTATTATTAATAGTAATTATAAAAGGCGTTCAATTATATAAAGCAATACCTTGTATAGTGCGTGCTAACGGTTTTGTTAATATCCTGAATTGATTAAAACTGAATGTATAGTTTGATCAATTTAAATTAAATGTATTTTAAAATTTTCAAACCAGACTATATATATATGTATGTATTTTATAAAACTACTACCTAATACCTGATCGAAAATATATTAGAAATTGTTGGTCTTCCGGGATTATTCTAAATGATAATATATAAACATATAGAGTTAGCCTTATTATTTCAACAATGAAATATTTACTTTCTAACGTAAATAAGTTTTTTGACGAAATTAAGTTAATTGTTATTAATAATATATATTGTTGCAATATATAAAAATAATAGATTTTTATTATACATATCCAATTACTCAATTATTATTTTATTATTGTAAAATATAATTTATATACCTAATTTTTTTTATTATTATTATATATATATTAAAATTATTGCTGTTACTTTAAATATTTTATATTAGTGAATTTACTATAATAATAATGAAAAGTAAAGTAAAATATATTATTTAAAAGCAAATACATTTCCAGGAATTTTTAATATATATAAAATGCAAAAATTATTATTAAAAAAAATATTATTTTACTTAATTTTTATAGTAATATAATCTTCATTTTATTAAAAAAATATTTATATGATGTACTAACCTTATCTTTGTATTTAATTATAAATAAAGTATCCTTATAACAGTTATACTGTCGTCTTTCTAAAGTTGCGAAATCTTGCTGCTCAATTAGTTCCTATTGCTGTTTATAGAATCATGTAATTATATTTTTTTATAATTTTATTGGAGCACAAAATCACAAATCCGACGATTAAAATAATTTAACACCTCGCGTTCCGTCGTCGTCGACTCGCGAAATGTCTTCAGATGCTTTCACCTGTACGGACTTAAGCGTACTGAATACTACCTGAACATCACCGTACACTAATAGTAATACTCTCACCAGCCGCGAACTCGAATCAATTATTTAACTCTAAATCCCTCATCCGTTTTTATTTTCATTCGATTCTTTCTTTTTCTTTTCACGTCTTTCTTTTATTGTTATTCCTTCCGCCCCATTCCAATTTTGTTTGTGATTCGAGGAAGCAGAATGAATAAATAAATGGAGGGACAGGAGACAGTACAAAACAATCTAATCTCACGTGGAATTGCTAATTGTCTGTGTTGCAATTGCTTCCCATTTGCGCAAGAATAGAAATTTTCGAATATAAAAAATAAAGTACAGTTTCATACATATTAAGAGCCACAACAATATTATAAATTGTTTGAATCAACAAATAATGTGTGCATTGAAGTTATTGTACAATAATAATGGCTATCTAATTTATATTAGAATAACTTAAACAATATAGTATAGTATTAAATGGATTTTAGACATTTTATTCACTGAATTTATTACGGAACGAACAATTGAAAATTCTAATAAATAAATTGGATACGAAAATAATTGAAGTTTACTATTAATATTTTCTATATCACATGTGGAGCTGTTATGAAGTAATGAATTGAAGTGTCTTTTCATTAATTAAGATTTTCATTATTTTAGTATATTTGGTTTCCATATTCAACTGTAACGTAATTATATTATTTTTGTTGTAACATTAGTACTTTGTTCAGGGCTTTTATTTGGATTTTGAGTTCCCTGGCATAAATATGAAATAGGGCCCCAATGCACAAAAAATGTGGGGTTACCTCTAATTCTTACATTGCAACGATTTTATTTGCTATTTATACTGTTTTTATTTGCATGCAAATAGTGTTAAGGAAACCGTGCCCCGCAACTTTTATATAACTGTTTGAATGAAATATTCACATTTTTTAGTTTGGTTGAATAATGGATTTCTCGATTTATTTTGATTAGACATCACTGAATGCTGAAAATCAATAAACGATGATGGATCTGCACGTGCATTTAGAATAATAAATGTTTTATGGACGTAGCACGAATGCATAAAATACATATCAGTATTCACGAGCTTGTACCTAGTTGGACTAGGGCAGATGGGTAGTGAATAATAGGTTTTGTTCACGAACGGCATAAGCCATTAATGATCTTCGAGAGGTCAAATTTAACGAGACACTAGATACAATGATGAGCAAAAACTGTTTAGGAAAATTCGATTGATTAACAAAAGAGCCAAAAATATAGAAACGTTGTGTCCGTTAGGTTCGGACCTTCTTTAGAAGCGCTTAATTCTATTACGTACTTGTTTATCCTGCAATTAGTGTACCGTAATCATTGGCAATTATTTCTTATTTGGTAACATCTGATGTACGCACTTCAACTCGCAAGCTTAATGATCCTGTAACCTAACTGCAAATAATCAAAATGAGAAGAAATAGAGGTATAGCAAAACAAAAGAAAACAGAAATAACATGAATAACAAAGTAATGTCGAAGTGTACATCATCTATCTAGCGGAGTTTAATTTGACTGTCTATACCTTATTGCTAAGTCATCACTGACCAATTGCCATTGTGTACGCTCTTTTGATTTTGATTTATATAGGATTCTATTTTGTGATGACTTTTTTCATATATATTGTTAAAACAAACTGTTATTTGAGAATTATAAACGACATACTTCTTGAACTATCTGTTAATATTTCATAATGCAGTCATGATAATTTAGAGAAAAAATATATAAATATTTGAAAATATTAGATTAAATACTCTTTAAAATCACTTATTTTTAAAGTATTCCAAAGATTTATATGAAATGAGTAAATTAAAATAAGTATGTTTCAGAAGAAAATTGTGGCATTAATCGAGTAACTGAATACAAAAATAGCTCGGCGACGGTCAACTGGGCAATATTTTTAAGATCTTAAATTTACTCAATGTTCACATTGATGAACAGATGCCAATATAATTATAATACATAAAAAAAATATATCAATTGATAGAATCATTCAACCATATAAAAAAAATCAATAATCTTTCCTTCCTAAATTCATTTTTGACGTATTATTGACGTACATGATGTACATTATTCACTCCTCGAATTTTAGATATCATTTTTTATTTTTTTACTATACCGGTAATCGGGTCTATATCACAAACCCGATAACCGAAAGACCGTCTATTGAAATTCCGACGTTCAAAATCCCAGCTGTATTAAAATCCCGACGCTTGAAATCCCGACTACCATAATCCCGACTACCATAAAAATGTTATTGTAGAAATTTATTATAATAAAAGACACTGTCGGGATTTCGATAGACGGGATTTTGGTTTTCGGGCTTGCGATTGTCACCGCCGGTAATCATATTGGCCGGTAAAACCTGTTAACCGGTTTATAATTGTAATAGCCCGTGGGCATTTCGTTGCCATTCCGCTGCTTTATATATTGGTTATATAGTATGCAACCAAATATACTATGTATATAAAGTGACTTGCTACTTCCCTCTTGAGATAGCTTTGCTAAATATTTGAAATGAGACGAGGTTCCAAAGAACATGTTAGCTTTATACAGGATTTTGTACAATGAGGGCAGGAGCGAGGCGCGTTCCTTAAAACCAGGTCTCGCAGCAAATTCTTCTTCTTCTTCCTCTCCCCTACTTCATTTGGCTTCCGCATTACGCGCCAATAAGCCAGCCACTGTCTGTATATTCAAAACACAAAGATAAAAAAAAAACTTATTCTTCGGATTTCTTCCTCCGCCCAAATAATTAGCTTCTCCCAATAAACCAAAACTTCTTTCTTCTGCACAAATAATCAAAATAAAAAAAAACTTCTTCTAACTCAACCAAAAAATAACTATTAAATTAAACTAAACTAACTTCTTTAAAATATGTACGTAGGAGAGATACGGCAAGACAGGTAAAAACAATAAAGGTAACGGATCGAACACAAATATATAACGAATTTCGAACCGGGGTCTCAGCGGTTCAGTACTCAGGTTTTTGGAGAGACCTCGGAAAGGTATAAATTAGAAAGGTTGACACGTTAAAACTATATATAGGCATTAGATGTTTTAAAAAACCTTAGTATTGCCCTGTAAACGTAAACGTCCTCGGATTGAATGAGACACCGTATGGACGTGGGCATGGGAATTCTATTATGCAGCAATTGCTCATAAAGAACCCCGGATGCCTCACTATTGAATTCACATGCGAAGACGATGTGATCCAGCGTTCCCACTGACCCGCAACTACATCTGTCCGAATCCTGCCACCCGATTCTGGCTAAATGTACCAGAGCTCGAGTATGTCCGGACCGCAAACGACTAAGCTTGGCAACGTCCGCTTTACACCTAAATCCCATCTTTTCGTACCACGGACGTCTACTGACTACTCTTCTGAAGTTGAAGTATGATGTGCCTTTGTATCTACTTTCCGCCTCATATATTCTCTGCCATTCCAACAGCGATTGGGCCCTGATGTGGGGGCAGATATCTGCGAAGTGTCACATTGCTGGATATCGATTCTATGGCACTCAGAAAATCAGAACACACTACCACTCTCCGGATATCGTTGTTTTGCGCCAAACCGAAGCTCCATGAATGGCATACAGTTCAGCGGTGTAAATGGAGGCCAGATCCGGAAGTCTTCCCGCAGAGAAGATATTCCGAGCTGGAATGCAAATACCGAAGGAGACCGATCTTGATTCGTTCTGAAGGGACCCATCCGTAAATACCTATGTGTGCGTGGTGAATTTTTGCCTCTTGAAACCCTTGAAAGCACGGTTCATCCGCCATTCCGAGTCGACGAGATCGCTTCTGCACAGGGGAAATCTGCACACCCTGATCTTATGAGCCTGGTCCACCAACATTGGCACATGTAGGTTGGCTATCGCATTCACGTCGATTTGTTCCGGGTAGATCTCTGTGTACCGCCAGGTGCTCAGCAGAAGTGGGATACCCTTCGCAGACCAAAACGGATTCTCCTCAAACTCGATTGCAGCTTCGATTGGACAACACGAAGCCACGATACACAGTTAACATCACCTTCGGATCACAACCCCAATCAAGTCCCGCCAGGGTTCTTAAGATGTTAACAAGACCTGACCAAGGCCTCGATGACTCATCCTGTCGTCGAAGAGAACTCCCAAAAACCTATGGCTCTGCACAAATTCAACCGGACCACCCCGAATGCTCAGATTTGGCCAAACTCTGACTCTTCTTCTGGAGAATCCCATCGCCTTGGTTTTTGCTGGGCACTACGGCAAGTTGTTTGTCCCACAGGAACTCTTCTACGTTTGCCAGAGCTTGGTTCATCTCGTTACACACACTCTCTGTTGTAAGGCCTGCGCCAACCAACACCAAATCATCGGCATAAGCCATGAGTCTGATGCTGCCCACCATCGCCTGTCGTGCTATTCGGTGAATGAAGATGTTAAACAGGAGAGGGCTTAGTGGACTTCCCTGCGGCAGACCCATATGCGTTGTTCTGACAGGACAGTTCCGCACTCCAACCAATCGAATCCTTCTCTCTCTGGTTAAATCAATAATTATATTGATCAACCGAGGGGGGAAGTGGAGGCTTGCCAGTTCTCTAAACATCTGTCTCACATCCACATTATCGTACGTCGACTTGATATCCAGGAAGACACATATCATTTCTTCCTTCACTGCTAGGGCTCTGTAAACCTCCGCAGTCAGACCATAGATGTTGTCGGTAGTGCTGCGGACCCTGCGGAATCCCGCAAAACCCTCATCGAAAATGCCATTGTTCTCACACCAACGATCGAGGCGTCTCGAGCGGGTGCACCTCTCTTCAGAATCGGCACCACGACGACGTCTCTCCACTGTTCCGGGATTCTGCCAGTGTCGAAACTAGGTCTGTTCCTACAGCCGTGTCCTTTGGCGGTTTCAGCCCCATCTCAAGTTCTTGTATGGTAAACGGAGTTGTTAGTTCGTTTGGTG